TTACGTGTAATGAACAGGAGTAAGGACCTGAGAAAGCAAAGAGGAAATTGTGACTCTCCCGCTATATCCATTAGTTGCATCATAAAAACCAGGTATGGCCAAGGGACTGAAAGGAGAATTAGACCAACATAAGGCAGACTTTGAAAAGGGCCTTGAAGGAAAGGGCAAGAATTATTATTTAGAGTGAGTAGAAAACAAGAGCTAGCAAAAGCCTTGGGTGGGGGGCAGGGTGCAAACTATCTGGATGCTCCTGCTGCTTCCCCATCTCTGTAAGGGGCAATATAAGCCTAGCTTTGAAAATATACACCGCTAACATCCCACCAAACCCCACCCCAATCTAAGTATAGTACCGAAATAGAAAGAAAATGATGAGCTCAACACAGACATAGCAGCCCTGAGACTACTGAATTTGCTGTACCAATTACCTATCTGCAATATTACATATTCTCCAACCAAATACTATTAGTGTGGTTCTCAAAGCAACTCAAAGAGACTGCTGTACTTCATCAAATCATTTTTGGACATCCCACAAGCTTTCAGGAGAATCATGGTTCTTAAGAATAAAGCAAACGAGCATTTGTTCACATGTTTCAGTACAATCTAGTTTTCAAAAACTTGTTTCTTTCTTCCATTTTTTTTCTACTTGAATTTTTGTATTTGTTTAGAGGTAAGAAAAATCTTTGCATTTCTCAAACACCAGCCTTTTTTGTTCTTTTAAGAGAGCAAAAGGTGGTTTCCAATACTCTACTAAACAAGGACTCACATCTGCCAGTCTGCAGGGAAAGCAGGCTGAGGCATCAAAAGATTGCAGTTAGTGAATTTAATCCCTCTGATGCAATCAGCCTGCAATGCGATCTGATTAAATTTAAAGACTCAAACCTGAAGTCCAGTACTTCAGGTCCAGAGATAAGTAGACAAATAGTATGAAAGAGCAGTCTGCTGTGGGCTTAAATAAACCCTAGACTCCACAGTTCAGGTTAAGATTTCTAAAGAATGAAAGCCAGGTGGATTGATTTAACACAGCATTAAAAAACCATCTGGGAAAGAAAAACACGTACATCAAAAAATCATCGTGAGACAATTTTCTCAGTGTAAAATAATTAGTGGAATGTGTGACATAAAATAAATTTCTGCACATATACCCACACTGCCACCATCAGCCTCGCTTTCTCATTTATTTAGGTGAACCTGTAATTGGCAAACAGGCACTTACTCATGGATAACAGTGGAGGTGCTGAGCTGCTGCAGACTTTGACACCGCTGCAAAATAGAGTATGTGTTCATATGTGTTTGTGCAATGGACACTTGCTGTGCAATATTATCTTGTCTCTACAGATAAATTAGTTGCATCATGCTCCTGCCAGCTTGATTTGTTTAGCCTTTATGGAGTACAGAGTACATGGAGTTTCTTGTGATTGAATCTCACATAAAAGGTAAACCTGAGAGCTTATTCTACACTATGCTATACATCCACCAAGGCATCTAAAGCATTTGCTGACTTGATGTTGAAAAGAAGGCTATAAAATATACTGGGGAAATCTTGAAACGTCACTCACTTGACATAGCAATAAGAGCCCTGCATTAAGATGCAGAGCTGATTTCCCTGATCCATGAAATTGCCTGGATATTTAAGGCATTCTCATACAGAACTGGCATGAAACTCACCCTTCATTCCTGGCACAAGAACACCATGGTTTTTGTGTTCTCCAAGAAAAACAGAGCTCAAAATTGCAGAGATAAATATTCTTTAAAAGAGGTCCTAAACACAACTTCCTTCCTTTCTCAAGCAAGAAGAAAGAAGTATTCAAAATGTCTTTAATGCTGGAATATGGTTATGTTTGCTGACACACTGCTCAGAGATGCTCAGGTTCTCTGTTGTGAGTTGGTGCAAGAACCTCTTACAATAAAACACAAAGTGTGCAAGTCTGTGACCACCTTTGGAGAGGGACATTTGTCCCTCTCATAAACAGGTGACAAGGCTGGAATAGGCACAATCTGTGGACAGCTATGAAAAAGATTATGATGCAATATATTGTATTATTTTATGGTCTGAGGTCTGGGACACGGTTCAGAATTCCTGAGCAAATGTATATTTCCAGCTGCTAAAGGGTAAGAAAAGGCCCATCTATACTTCCAAAGTATTGGCGAGTTGAGGGTCAGGTATAAGTATAATTTCTTCCAAGGACCCATCCAATGCAAACACACAGACTGCAATGATGGGGGAATTTGAAAGGACCGTAAGCTTCCCTAGAACACTGTCCTGCAGGCTCTGCTAGCTTAGACTCAGAGGAGGACAGTATCCACAAGGAACAGAGTACAGCAATAACAGAGCTACATCTCAGGTTATAAACAGCTTCCCATCAGGTAACTATGGAGGTTTTAGTCCAAAAGGCACCACTAAAGTATCCTGACATTGCAGTACGTGGTACATCTGATGGAAACCTGCACACACCAGCAGGCTTCACACCGGCATAACAAACGTAACGTTGGCAGATGCTCTTAGCATTGATTTGTATCCAAAATCTCACTGAAAGGGTAATCTCCTTTAAACCTGGTGCATACATTGCACATATAATTTTCGGCATCTCCATAGCAAAGAAAGACCTGAGACTCATACTCCAACTGAGGTCCAAGATTTTTCTTGGACATGGATTACCATTCCTTCTTGTTGACAAAGAAAGAGAATTTCCTAATCTTTTTCAGATAAAATTTCCCAGTCAGTTCTTGTCTTCAGCTAGGCTGATAGCTCTTCCCATTTTGTAGTAAAGCTTTGTGCTGACCAATTTAATGGGCAGTACTCTTCCCCTGCTTCCTGTAATTCTTTTCCTAAAGAGCACATACAGTAGCCTGTATTTATACAGGTATACAGAATTATACAAAATAAGAATGGGAAGGACTCTTGAAGCCATCTGGTATGTGACCCCATTCAAAGCAAGATCAGCTACACCTAATTAGGTCCTGACATACGCTTGCCTACCCTATTGAAACAGAGACTCCACAAACTCCCTTGGATATTTATTGTGATGCTTTGCTATTCTTACAATTAGAATGTTTATCTAATGTTTAGTCTGTTCCAGAAATTTTAATGAAAAGTGCCCTTAGAGGAAGACTGGATTATTGCGCATTCTGATACATGAAGAAAAACACATACAGAAACACAACACATCAAATTTAAGGTTCATAAATTATTTGTAGATCACATAGGTGATTTTTCAAACTTTCCGATTAAAAATAGTTTAAATGGAACCAGCTATTTATGTATCCACCCTATTATTCACTTTAAAGAAGATCTTGATCATAGGAATTTCTTCCCCAATTCAAGTTTTGAAAGCTCTAAGTTCTCTGAAGAAAATAGTTGTTGGCATTTTTGGATGATAAACATCCCAAAGCGATGATGATAAATTACAGTGTTGCCCAATGATGCAGAAAAGTAGAGAAACGCAAACTGCTAACTTCTGATTTATGAATACACACTCTTTATTACAGAATCTAGGGGTTCACAGCTATAAGAGCAGGTCATTTTCATCTCATTGCTTATTAAAAGTGTGAGAAGGAAGCACGAAGGGTGGCCACTGTTTTGCAATGTATTGGATAGATTAACACTTAATGTTCTTTGTCTCTAGTACGAATGCAAAATGATACAGAATTTCTTGCCTTTTTAAGGCCTACATAAGCATTTGTTACTGTTCACCATCACAGAAGATAGGAATTTTTACATCTAGTTTTGCTCATTCATACTAGCAAATTTTCTCACATTTTAATATAATCATTCCTATAAACCTTTTTCTTCACACAGAAAAAAACATTTGTCCAAGATACTAAAAGAAATCCTGCGATATGCTTGTTAAAACATGTTGGTGTTAATGACAAAATTTACTTTGGAAAGTATTTAAACTGAGACTTTCACCTATCAACAGGCATTCCCAGTGAAACCCACCCAATGCACTCTAAGTCACGAGCCAAGGAATCTGTTTTGTTGCAGTAAATTGTATATTTGAAGTAAATTGTATTACATTTCTTCATCACTCCTCAGCTTCCCAAAGCTTGGGAATTTTCTGATTCCTTCTTCTCTCTCCCTGTTACCTCTCTGCTAAATATTCAAAGCAGGCAACAAAAAGGATTAGGAAAAATAAGGTCAATACAGCAAATTGGAAAGAAGTAAAATGTTTCTATATGCCATCATTTGGTTGTTACAGTTATCTTAATCAACCCAAACAGCTTCTTTGAGACATCTAATTTGATTTTACAAAGTGCTAACCCATAGCCATATTTGACTTTCCTTTGATTCCAAATGTAAAAAACCAGCCTTTATCTAATGTTCAGGCATATAATCTAACTACACATGCATTTGCATTTGCATTACGAGGCAGTGAAACATGGCTGGAGAGCCATCTTGGATGTTATCTATGTTTTTACTCAAGTGGAGAGTATAATCATAAATCCTTCTCTTCCCCTCCACCCCCCCCTCCCCCCAGCCTTTTTTTCAGAAGTACACTTAAAATCTGTTTTTAAGCTTCACTGGCTCCATTACATTTGAACTTCAGTAACAAGAATGTGATATGAATATGTAGAGAGAAAGCATAGACAAAAGGTATATTTTCATAATGTGGTTCAGTTTAACTGTTCCTATAATTAGCTACAACTCATTAGGCAATAAAAAGACAAACAAAGAGATTATGAATGGAAGGGCAATATTTTCTCCATAAAACAAACAAAAAACTTCAACAGATGCCTCTTTTCTAAGGCTTTCCTTGCATAAATACACCCAGCAGCTGAGAAAAGATATTTTCACGATTGAAAATTTTTGTCTAGAAAGAAAACCTGTAAACATTATCCTGTGTAATTTCAATAAAAAGTATTTACATCTATTGTACACTTGGGATTTTTTGATCTCAAGGATAAAATAACGATACAGAAATGGTCTGCAGATGACTAGCTTTGATCTTTTATTAGTTCTTATAATTGTCTCTTAATTTGTATTCTGCATAATAAGCACTCACCTTCACCGTTTGTCCAGCTTCAGGGCCATCCTGTAAGCAAAGGGAGAAGTCTCAGGTTAGAGGAACTAACAAGGATCATGCAGGGATTCAGAAATCTTACTCAATAATCATCTACATCCAATTTCACTGTATGTTAATTTAGCATATTTTCCCGGGGACCATTCAACACAACGTTTTTGGACAAGACGCCTTTCCATATCAGGCCATGGCGAAGCAAGAAACTATCTTAGACCACAAACCCGACAGTTGTTATTTTTCATTCTTTCAGATTGTATTTTTTAATAGGTAGCAATAAATTTCTGATCCTTGTGAATATAAAATCAGACACGTAAGTGAGAATTTAATCAAAGCATGCTTCCTTGGATTCTTATTCTAATGAAATGGGCTTTGTCTCCCAATTTGCTTTAAACAGAGCTCTTTTTTGGTATTAAAAAACCCAGCACAAATAACTGAAAGGTCAGAATTGATAACATATTTACATGGGTACGTCTCTCTGCCTGTATATAAATAGCCGTGAGCAGAAATTACCTGTTTCTATCACAAGCAGTGGGTTACCTGCTGAACGGCAAGATGTGGCTGCTTTCTCTAGGTCAATCCTGCAAACACTTCTTTGAAGGAAGAGTATTTGCTGAAATACTCACAAGCACTGCATTTGGGAGTGTTTGCAGGCTTATTCCAAAGTTTTGCAGTTATTAATTATCCACGCTTTTCTGCTGGTTTGCCTCTTAGTTTTCTTTCAATGGCAAATCTGGCAGACTGCAATGCAGTTATTGTGCTTCTTTTTTTTATTACTATTATTTTGCATTTATTGCCTCTTGAAGTTTGAATGTCCTTTTGTCATTGGACTAGAGGAGAACGAAAGCTTGATAAAACAAACCATTAAACCTTTTTTAGTTGACTGGTTTACAAACCTGAATTGAAATGGTGAGCGAGGTGCTGCAGAAGTGTTTCTCCACCACGTTGCCAACCCTTTGCACCATACGAAATAAATCGGCCACTTCCTCGGGACACAAGTCACGGAAACGCTCCACTGGCCGCAGAGGACAAACAAGGACATCTGAAGGTGGTATTGTCAAGGCACAAACGCAAGCCTGAGTGGTCCAGAAGGATAAGTGGCTCAATCCCTACCCTGTAACCTGCTTCTGGTCACTTTTGAATTGCCTAAATTCCTCCTCTCCAAGGGTTACAGCAAGAGCAACTAAAACATAAGCCTAAATGCAGGGAATAATATGATGCTTTGTTCAGAAGAATTTTACTCAAACCCCTCAGATATGGGCAAAATGACTAAAATAAGGTCCATATATTACTACTGACACATCTAAAGGAAAGCAAAGTTTTCACAGACTGGAAGTTACCATTTTGATGGAGAGATTTTCCTATTTAACACCTCTGAAAGTCAGAGACATTTCCTTTTGTGATTAACAATGGGAGAAAGCCAAAGGAATTTAAGATGGGTTTGGGTGTGTGATCCGAGACAGCAGTTTTACAATGCTTTTCCACATATGTTGTATGTATTTTTGAAAATCTTGATCTTACACCTCTGATTTTAGGTATCAAAATGTGAAAAAAGCTGGCACTATGCTGATAATAGCAGATCCCTTATTTCTACATCTCGTCAATTACCATTCATAAGGAATGCTCACCTTTTATAAATATATGTTTTTAGAAATACATTAAGATAATTAAGACCATTCCCTTTTAAGCGTGGTGTTCATGACACTGCAAATATACTTTGATTTTATTCTACCTTGTTGAGTGCACTTTGTGAGTCAGTGAAATGAAGCTATAAAGTAAACAATGGAAGAATGGAAGTACACAGACGCTATTCACAGTCACCTGATCTGCTGTGTTCACAGAAATTAATAATTGCTACAATTCCTCACTTGAAAGTCAATTTTGTAACATTATTAATAGGGTGAAGAATTCTTAGCAGAGCCTCAGTTGTATAAATCCAACAAGCAAGCACTTGGGACTTGATTCTCATTTCAAATCCCCTGCAGACAGGATATTTTTTTTTTACTTACAGTACTGTGTTTGCAGAATAAAGACCTTAAAATCACCTTTAACATCGCTTGAACTTTCATTACCAAAGGCTACAAAAATTAAAATCTTCTTATTTTTTCAGTATTAAAATGAGTGTTCAAAGGACTATTTGAAGAAAATTAAGTTCCATGCCATTGTATTACAGTCATTTTTATTTTTACTGCATCCTGAAGCCTTCAGGTGTTCAGGAATATTCTCTATACTACAGGAAATGTAACTAGAAGATGCTCTGTAGTTAACAGGTTCACACAAAGGTTACATCAACCTGATTTTCAAGAACTGCATGAGACATCTGAAGTAAGGAAGGATTAATACACATGAAAGATAATTTATTTCCATAAACACAGAGACAACATGTTTACATTCACCAACTTTTTCACAGGAATTGCTTTTATAATTCTGATTGGAAGGAAAACCAGACATATTCTGGAAGTAAAGAAGTAAGGGCAGGTTTTGATCATTTTTCAGAGTCCAGATGAGGACAGACAAGATTGTAGTGGATATTTACTAAAGTGGGAGCAGATTCTTCGAGCGAGCTCCGCAGCTAGCAGCTCCCAACAGAGCAGGAGAAGACTGGCCCCAGCTACGGGTGTTAATCTGCTTTGAAAATCTGTCCCTCATTTTTTTTAGCACAGCATCAGCTAAGCCACCACTATTCCCTTTTTCTCTTGTTATAACTTATGCTATTAAAATTTAAAGAAAGGAGAAATATGTATTTAGAAAGCAGGTACTTGGAAAGAAACCAATCCTGGACAGGGACAAAAAGCCTAGTTTTGTGGGGTTTTAGTTCTAAAATGCTGTGACTCTTGGAAAGCTACTGGGCATAATAAAGCTCCTGTAATTTATTTGTGCCTTCCCAGCACACTGTACAAAGCACCTCCATAAAGGATGCTATTGGCTGAACTTAGGGCCCAAGGGAAGAGCTGGAAACTTGCTTGGCAGACCTGATTTCCATACCAGGAATAAAGGAATAGAAAAACTAATTAATTTTACTCATAAAAAGGAAATCCATGTCAACAGTAAAACAGGAAAAAGGACATTCGTTTAATCTGACTTCATTTTTCAAAAGGAGAGAAGGGAAGCTTTTACCCTTAGGGCATCTGATACTTAAGTAGATAATTATCCTTCTTCTGCAGCACTGCTTTATTATCATGGGTCAACGAACCATTTATAAATGAAGAATTTCCCCTCATTTACCTCTAGCAAAACTGCTGCTTACATTAAGACAAGTTTCCTTTTCTCCTTTAGAATTTTTTCCCAGCAGTTTCTCGCCCTCTCAGACTCACACACCCCTCATCAGCAATTGTTTGTTCTCTACCTAGCTCAGGGCCACAGCCACAAGTATGAACTTTTGCATTAATCATGGTTGCTACAACCTTATATTAACACTGTACTACTTGTCACTGTGATGCATTGTGAAAAACATGGACTAAACATCGCTTGCGAGAGCTTTTGTTTCCATAGCACATAGCAGAGGGAGAAGAGAGTGCAGTGTGGGTGCTGGTTGTGACCGAGGCAGGACATCTGTTTTCTCTTCTTAATTCTGTCACTAATCTGCTCTGTCATTTGGGCAAGTTGTCTCTATCCCTCTCTCTCTCCTCCTCCACATTTTATCTGTCTTATCTGCTTAGACAGTATTTGCCAGTTGGTGCAATGGATGTTTTCTTATTGGGCCGTAAGGCTCCCCACTCATGTGGGGCTGCGAAGCACTCCCGCAATATCAAACGATGCGCCCATAAACCATGTCATTCTGCAAAAAGGATTTTCACTTCCTTCTTGCATTACCAAGACTCATTTAAAACTCAAACTAGATTTTAACCATATTTCTGTCTTTGAATGTGATAAATAATTCAAAGGCACAATCACACACTGGAGCATCTTTACTGAACTTTCCATCATTTCAAAATAATTCTACAAAGAATAATGATAGAAATTCTGAATCAGAGCTAAATTAACATGAGAATGTAATTAGGACAACATTCAAGTTATATTTAACTATGAATATATAAAAAGGCAAATGTTAGAATGAATTCATGGATTTGAGGTCATTAAGAAAACAACCATCCACTGAAACTTTAAAATCATATTTTTTAACTACAGTTTTTAACACTAGGATATTTTTAAACTTTATATCCTGGTCAGATTTTAAGCTGGATAAACGCTCTATTCACCTCAAAATTCTTCCTAAGTTTAGAATTAGATAAACTGCTCATTGCTTTCTGCAATTACCCACTGCAAACACTGCTATGAACTACTGATGTGCTTCAGGTGGCTGTGTATTAAAGATGCAAGTGAAAGTGAGTCTGTACTTATGTCTACGTGCAATTACTCCTTAGACTGAAGCATCTCCTGCCATCTGAGATGCCTCAGGGCATCCAGCTGCCACTCCAGAAGCGTCTCCCCATATGCCCTGTGTCATGTCTGTCAGCCAGGTGGGAAGCCTGAGTCATCTTAGGGTATCTGAAATGGCAGTAGGTGCCTATGGTTGGGCAACAGCCCCCACCTTTACAGAGGGCTCAGCGGGACAAGAGGCTCATACCCAGCAGAGTGCTGCATGATTGAAGACAGCATTCTGTCTTCAGAAAGTTTGAACTTCATGTTTCCTTTCTCTAACCACCATAATTAATAATTTCATGATTTCTTCATTCATTCTAAACTGCTACAGACTGATGAAGTTTCTATTTTTAAGCTTTGATGTGCACAGCTGTTATTTCCTTCAAATTCTCTGAGTCAGTCCACATCATTAGAGTACGTGCAATTTAATATGTCAACTTCTCCATTTTAAGAAGTGGAAAACCTTCACACCTTATTATAATTCGTACATCCCTCTCTCTAGATCTTGCAGGAGTCTCAACTGCCTCACTTTTCCCCCTAATACTTAAATACGCATACACAAATCAATATGCATACCCTCACACACACTAAAAGCTCCATTAAAGATTTATTAAACAATTAGGAATGTCAGTATTTTCCAAAGACTACCAGTAGATAGTAGACTAGAAGTCCAGGTATGTTAGTGAAAATGCATAACCATAAAGTACTAGTAAAGCGACAGTGGATCAGACCCATTACCCTCAAACTGAGCGAAAACCTAAGGATGACCTATGATTTCAACAAAATCACTTGACCTTATATATTGGGCAGCCTACTCCCTGCACAACCTTGGGTGGGTTGTTTAATGCACCAAAGCCTGCGAGCCTCCTCCATAATTCAAATTAACAGCCTCTGCCTATTGGTCTATTAAGATTGTAAGCTGTCTAGAAAAGCTCAGACTCGTGGCCAAGCAAGCATGGTTCAACAAGTTTCTACACGCCAGAAGAGCACGGATGCTGAAGCACGCGTGCCAGGTCTCAGCCCCCAACAGTCAAGGTTGCACACATTTCTGTAAATCTCTTTCACTCCTTCATTGACTTTTTAGACCATAATAACTGGAGCCCTTTGAGACTGGCATTCAGAGGCATTTACTGCAATGTGGTTCTGCAATGGGCACCTGGACACTGTCAAAGCTATGTTCAATTGTGCCAAGCACAAGCACAGATTCTCCATGTACATCTAAGTATTTAAGGATATGCTTGCACTGGAGATAATGGGTCACTACCGAAAAGTGAGCATTTGTTAACTGCATAGTGACTTTAAGTTGATCAGAGAGGGCTCAGAAAAGCAAAACACATGGCCAACATCTGCATGCTGACCACTTCAAATGCAATTTTCCTTCCGCTAATACACATAGGGTGGAAGCTGAAATTCAAAGGCACTGTAGCAATTTTTATTTGCTTTATCTGAATTTTGGCTTTGAAGCCTAAATTATTGTAATTCTGTATTTAAGGTCTAAGCCAGGCTCTATGTTCCCTTCAATGGGATTCTGATCAACCCCACAAAGTGTCCATTATAAATTTCCACACACACTATCAAGGTACACATGTTCTCTAGTTCTGAAATGTTGGAAAAAAGGCCTTTGGGTGGTGAAAAAAAGAAAGAAAACCAAAAAAAGAAACCCCAAAGAGGTTAATATTCCTTTTATGTGACAAGCTTTAGAACTAAACACAGC